TAAATCGANATATCGCNNATCAAATTACCTTTATCTTTGATCTTCGTCACTTAAAAAGTTTCGATCATCGTCGTCTCTAAAAAAACTCGATCTTCGTCTCTAAAAATCCTTCGAGGCGATTCTGTTTGGGAGAGGAAACGAAAGGGATCGCGTTATTGTGAAAGGGACAAAGTTGTCCAAACGGACAAAATATGTGGCATAATTGTAAAAAACTTCCCAGACGTTTGTAAAAAGTGACTACATTTGTGGCATTTTTGTAATTCTCCCTATATTTTTAGATAATTGTCACTACTCAAGTACTATATTAGGGAATTTCTCTCTACAATGATTTTCTTCATTCGAGAAGGTATATGTGATTTCGTTGTTCGTTATTGAGCATTGTTGAAGAGTAATCCACATTCGGATTTTATCTAGGGAAATTAGCTAAAATAGCCAACAAAAAATTAATAATACACTAACTAACCAAAACAAAAATCTTGAATGATATTCTCTGCATAATGTGTATATGTGACCATTTTGCCCTCTTATAACTTTACAGTTTCCAGCGGTTTTTTTCCATCTCTGTCCTTTGTATCTTCATCTCTCTTGTCTCCGGCCACGGTCGACCTCACTGGCTCACTCTGTTACTAAATTACTATATAAAAAAAATGAACACCTTGTTCTCTGAGCTATAATCCTTTATTTTTCTTTTTTGAAACTTGAGCTATAAATTTCTCTTCCAAAATCAATCTTCCCTATTTTTCCTTCGTTCTCTGCAATCTCAACTATTTATTGTTTAGAATTTTTTTTTTATCTCAAAGCCATCGTTATTGTTCTGTGTAATTTTGATGTTGTTCTATGTCATGGTTAGCTATCAAGATGATGTCCCTTGACTATTCTCAATACGTAGGAAACATTTGAATGGTAGTTTCGGCATAATGAGCAAAAATTTGGTTAGAAACATAATTAATGTTCTTCTTGGCTATATGCTTTATTATAAATCCCATTTTAGTTATTAAGCAAATAAACTCTTTTTATCTAAGATTGCTAATTCCGTCACAAAACAGATAGCAAAAATATTAGGTATCTCAC